GTCCCCCTCTGAATGTCACTGTGCAACACGGAAGTCAGGCGGTTGCCCCTGAGACAGCATGGCGCCGGGGAAAGAGGGCTTAGCTCTGAGGGAAGGCAGCCAGCAGAGGAAGCCATTTTTTTTCCTTTGCTCCCCCCCCCACCCCCGCTTGCCTCCTCCTCTCTCTCTCTCCTTCATCTTTTCATTTTCTTCTATTTTTCCTCCTTTAATTTTTGGTGGGAGTAGAGACTTGAACATAGTTCTGGGCTAATGGTGAAGGGAAAAGGAAAGAGTCTGTGGTGAGGTGAGAACATGCTCCTTGTGCGGGCTGGAGGTGATCACTCCCAGGACAGGGAGAAATACTGGCTTTGGATGGGTGAGGGTTGGGGGAGGAGAGGGGAGCGTTAATGCTCCAGTTACATTTGGTGGATATTTGCTAAGGGCCAGACCTCAGGAGGTCCCAGGCCAATAGGGCAGAGGGTAGGGACTGATTTAGCAAGAAGTACGGGATGTAGAGCTCAGGCAGATGTGTGGGAGTGTGGCGTGCAGAGGGAGAAGCGCCCACGTCCACCTGGAAAGCTGGTGTGGGAGATGGAGGGCATTCCAGGCAGCCAGCATGGGCTTGGGGGCTGCAGGAGCCTGGACTATTGAGGGGCAACTGAGCAGCAGAGATGGGGCACAGGTGGATGAGGAGTGGGGGGATAAGCAGCCTTGTTGTAGGAGTTTGGCATTTTTGCCAACACATCCCTGAAAATCAAGTAGCCCCTGAGCTTTCTTTGAAGTCCAGTTGACCCAGGAGGAAACCTTTGGGAAGGGCCACTTGGACGATGTAACATTAGGGTGGGACTCACCTTTGCCTCATGTCTGAATTACCTGTTGCTCAGGCATGGAGACCTTGAGGGGTATTGAGATACAGTAGACCCTAAAGCACGAGTCTGAATTGGGGAAGGAGACACGTTCTGTCGCGTGCAAGCGTGTGCCATTGATAAGTCGTGTGACCTTCCTGAAGCACCCCTTGCTCCCAGATGGCCTTAGCATTTATGGCCCACGTCGCGGTGAGTAGCCTGAACTCTGCTCTATCCATGTGGTCTTCTTGAGGGCCTCGTTCAGATCAGCCTGGACTTTTCAACATGAAGTGACTTGTGGGGCTCTGACAAGTTCGACAAGTTCGTGGGCTTCAGGACAAGATGCAGATTGAAGTGTCTCCTTTTCTGTCTCCCAGCTGTTTGACCCCGGGCTACTAAGCAAGGCTGTCTTCTCTCAGCTGTAGAATGGGAATAATGGAGCCTGTCTCATAGGTCAGGAACCAAGTAGAAGGAAGACTCGCCATCCTACTCCTTCCCCACAGCCCGGCATCTCTTAGCAGGGTGCTGCTGGTGTTTTTGAGTGGGGTATCTCTTCCTAGTGCCAGACTCTCCTGGTAGTGGTGGGATGTTTTGCCCTCCTGGTGTCTGCCCACTGGCAGAAGATTCGTGGGCAGCCCCAAAACCCTTCTGCACATTTTCATTGTCCCCTAGGGAGGCGAATACCACCCCCAGCTTGGCTGATTCAATTCAAGGTACATTTATTGAGTGCCAACGGTGTGCAAGGAAACATGCTGGGATTGCCCTGAAGGGGGCTGTTGTGTAATGGTGGAAGGAACAGTGGCCTGGGAGGCAGAAAAACAGACCTTCCGCCCCGGCCTCATTTCATCTCTTTCTGCTTTGAGTCTATACCTTACTGGACACCAATGTTTAAGGCCACGGCTGTTTTTCCAGTTTACTGCAGTTGAGGATATAGCATACTGGGGAGGGATAGAGAAAGTAACATGGGAGTTCAGAGGAGGGAAAGATTACATCCAATTTGGAGATTCAAGAAAGGCTGCTCGGAAGAAGTGGCGTTTGAGCTGGCTCTCAAAAACTGGGTAAGAGTTGGGCTAGGAAGAGCAGTAACAGATATTAATGAAAGGTTGACTGTGAGGGAGTGTATATTCAGGGCAACTTGAATCTGTGATCCTGAGAAAAAACACATTAAATAAACAAACATAAAAAGGTTGACTGTGGCCAGGCACTCAGCTATGTATAAACATCATCTCTTAAGGGCCTCAGATAGCCCCATAAGGAATTATTATTTTCTTTATTGTACAGGTGAGGAAGCTGATTAAGTTTCCTAGGGCCACAGTGAGCTGCTGACTGTATCAGTTTGCTATTGCTGCGTAACAAACCACTCCAAAACTCAGTGGCTTCAAATGATAGCCATTTGCTATTGTTCATGACTCTAAGGGTTGGCTGGGAGGTTGGCTGGTCTAGGATGGTCTTGGAGGGAACTACTCAACTCTTCCATGTGGCCTCCCAACCTTCTGCACTGTAGCTCAGGCTTGTTCCCATGGAGGAGGTGGGTTTGAGAGAGGAAATTTGCAAGGTTTTTTGCAGCCTGGGCTCAGAATGCCTCACCATTACATCTGCCACATACTGTTGGCCAAAGCATGTCCCAGATTCAAGGGGTGGGAAACTAGATGCTACCTCTTGATGGAATAACTGCAAATTCATATTGCAAAGGGCACTGATGCAAGAAGGCATGGAGGCTTGGACCATTTTTGCTCTGTCTAGTATAATAACAGAGCAGGACTGGATCTCTGGTCCAGTTGGCTCCAAGCTGTGCTCCTTCTGATTTTTCTAGGGAGCAGAAAAGCATTTAAGACAGAGGGAAGAGCATGAGCAAAGGAAAGGAGGTAACAGAGCTTAGGACGTGTCTGGGAAACACTAAATGGCTCATATTGAGCTATGTGTGGTGTGTGTCAAGGAGAGTGGCAGAGAATAAGGCAGGGAGGGGCGGGTCAGGTCAGTCACTGGAGGCCTTGAGTGCACGGTTAAGCCGCTTAGACTTTATCCTGCATGTGAGAAGCTTCGGGGTTTTTTCAAAGTAGAATTTATTATAGTACAACTTACATGCAGTCAAATTCTTGCTTTTTAGGTATGCAGTTCTATCAGTGTTGATAAATGCATACAGTTGTCTAATCACCACAAGCAAGATCCAGAAAATTGCCATCTTCTCACAGAGTTTCCTCATGCCACCTGTAGTCAGGCTACTCCTCCCATCCCAGCCAACTACTGAGATGGTCACCATCCTTATAGTTTTGCCTCTTCCAGACTGTCATGTAAGTGGGATCATCTATATGTAGAATTCTCTGTCTTTTTCTTTCACATGACTCGGTGCTCTTAAGACTCAGCCATGCCGTTGTACAAATCAGTAGTTTGTTTCCTTTTTTTTTTTTTTTTTTTTTGAGTTGGAGTCTCACTGTGTCGTCCATACTAGAGTGCAGTGGCCGCTCCGGCCACCGCAGCCTCAACCTGCTGCGCTCCGGCGATCCTTCCACCTTAGCCTTCCGAGTAGCTGGAACTATAAGCGCCCGCTACCACTCCCGGCTAATTTTTTTGATTTATTGCAGAGATGAGGTCTCGCCTGCTCAGGCGAGTCTCGAACCCATGGGCTCAGGCAATCCACTCATCTCAGCCTCCCAAAGGCATGGGATTTACAGGCTGAGCCACCGAGCCCGGCTAGTTTGTTCCTTTTTATTGCTGAGTTATATTGCATTGTGCCAATGTGCTGCGATTTGCTTGTCCATTCCCAAGTTGAGGGACATTCGGACTGTTTCCAGATTGAGGAATTTTTAATAAAGCTGCCATCAACAGTTACATTCAAGTCTTCATGCAGGCGAATGTTTTCATTTCTCTTGGGTAAATACTAGGAGTAAATTGCTAGGTCATTTGGTAAGTATAGGTATGCTTTTATAAGAAACTGCCAAACTATTTTGAAATGGCGGCACTACAGCAACGTGTGAGGGGTCTAATGGCTCCATATCTTTGCCAGCACTTGGGATTGTCAGGGATTTTTGTTTGTTTGTTTGTTTTCTAATTGTATCCATTTTAATAGTGTATTTCATTATGGCTTGGATTTGTATTTCTTTAATGACAAGATGTTGAGAATCTTTTCATTTGCTTCCTTTTCTTATTTGGTGAAGTGTTTTAGAATCTTTTGCACATTTGAAAAAATGGATTGTTTTCTTAGATTAAGCTTTGGGTGTGTTTTAGATATTCTAGGCATTAGTCCCTTATCAAATACATGTTTTGCAAATCGTTGCTTCCAGACATCCAGAAGGATTTTAATGGGAAAGTAAGTCTTGTGTTTGAAAAAAAACTTAGGGCATTATGGGTGAGAAGTATAGAGACCAGAAAACTGTCTTAACCATCTGGACGAGAGATGAGGCACCAGGCCGGGCTGGGCAGTGGCATGGGGAGGAGTGGAGCGGCAAAAAGCATGGAGACCCATTGGATGGTAGGAAAGACCCCTCATCCCCCAGTGAGCCCTCCCTCCCCCTTCCTTCCTTCGACTCATATTTGTGAAGCACAGGCCGTGGTCTAGGCATAAGGGAAGGACCAGTGAGAAAATCAAAGGCCTGTTTTCATGGGGTTCTCACCTTGGTGGGAAGACAGACAATGAGCACATGCATAAAGTGTAAACCCAGTGGCTGGCATGTGCTATTAGACACATAGTGACAGGCTCTTATGGCAGTGCCATCTTGCAGAGGGCTCACGGTGGGAAGCAGAGTCCTCAGGGGTTCCACTCCTAGGAAGGAATCAGTAGGGGAACAGGGCTTGTGTTCTGGCCCTGACTCTGGCCTTCAGGTGGCCTCAGGTAAGTTCCCTCCTCTCTCTGGCCCTTGGTCTCTCTCAGGGTTGTGCTACATAATCTTTCAGACACTGTGGTTTTCTTTTTTACATAAAATTCTCACAAACCAACTTGGGTGCGCTACTGGGCTGAACTAGGTGCACATTGGAGGGATCTCTTCATTAGCATCAGGCCATTTTGTTGGGACGGGTTAGAGGTCATTCATTTTGGCCGCTCACCCAATGTAGGATCCCCTGTGAGGCACAACCAGCAGGTACCTGTTCATCCCCTGTGGGTGACCTTCCAGGTCTGGGGAGCCCGCTTCCTTCCAAGGGACCACTTCCATTTTTTTCTTTATCTCTGTCTTTTTAAAGGGAAAGGATCACACCATTTACTAAGGGAAAGTGCCGTCCAACTGTGGATTACAATTCAGATCCTACTCCCTAAAGCCACATGCGAAGGACAGCCGGCGGTGACCAAAGCCCTGAAGACAAATCTGGGATGGGAGCATGGGCTTGGGAATGGGGTATCTTGGAGGAAGGACGCATAAGAATGCCTGGGGGTGGGAAGAGATGTGGTGGGGTCGTCTTTGCTGCAGCTGGACACTGGAAGGTCATAAAGTCTGCTGAGACAGATGGGGCCAGATATCTTTTGCTACAGGAGATCACTTATCCTGATAATGCCAATGAACATGGGGGCCAGACAGCAGATGGACTGAAGGGGTAGAATGTGGCCAATGCTCTTGAAATCCCTTCTATTCTAAAGCCAGAGTGCTTGGCTCCCTGTTCATTAAAGTCCAGAAAGAGGTGGGAGAGTGTGGTGCATGTTATACGGCAATTCTACGACCCTTGGGACACCCCGTCTGCATCCCAGGATACTTCTGGAAGCCCAGCAGGGCCTCACATTATAAGGAGATTGCTGACCTTTAGGCAGTGCCCAGCCATGGGGAACCTTGGCTCCACGCTTGAGCCAGCCTGTGTCTCATCCAAAGGTGGGTCCATGGAGGCTGGCAAAAGACATCCTGGGTTTCTTCCCTCACTGTTTTATGCCAGTGAGAGGTTGGGTGGAATGGGGGACGTGGGTTGACCCTAGAGGAGACTGGGACAGCACAGCCTTAATGATAAAAGATACTTCAAGCACATTCTTCAGAGCGTGAGGTCTTACAGAAAGCGGCTCCTCTCTCACTCGTGTCAAGACGACTGTTTTGGAGGAAGTGAAACTATCTTTATTCACAGACAACACGATCATCTACGTTAAAAGTCCTACTGAATCTTCAAAAGAGCTACTGGATCTAAGCAGTCAGTTTAGCAAGGTTTCCGGATTTAAGGTAAATATACCCAAGCCAATAATTCCTGTGTACTAGCAACACACAATCAAAAATTGAATTTTTAAAAGTTTTTCTTAAGAGACAGCATCTTGCTGTGTCAGCTAGGTTAGATTACAGTGGTACTATCATAGCTCACTGCAGCCTCGAACTCCTGGACTCAAGTAATCCTCCCACCTCAGCTTCCCAAGTAACTGGAACTATAGGTACATGTCACCACACCTGGCTAATTAAAAAAATTTTTTTTGGTAGAGATATGGTCTTGCTGTGTTTCCCAGGCTGGTCTTGAACTCCTAGCCTGAAGTGAGCCTCCTGCTTCAGTCTCCCAAAACACTGGAATCATAGTTATGAGTCACCATGCTTGGCCAAAATATTTGTTCTTTTAAAAATACTATTTTTTTAATTTTATTTTTTGAGTCGGGGTCTCACTCTGTTGCCCAGGCTGTAGTACAGTGGTACAATCATGGTTCACCACAGCCTTGACCTCCTGGGCTCAGGCAATCCTTCTTCTTCAGTCTCCCAAGTAGCCGGGACTACAGGTGTGTGCCACCACACCCAGCTAATTATTTTGTTGTTGTTGTTGATATTTTGTAGAGATGAGGTCTCACTATGTTACCAAGGCCGGTTTCGAACTCCTTGGCTAAAGCAGTCCTCCCTCCTCTGCCTCCCAATGTGCTGGTATTACAGGCGTGAGCCACAGCTCCTGGACAAGATACTATTAAGAGAAAAGACAAGGCATAGACTGACAGAAAATATTTGTACATCATGTATCTGATAGAATACTCATATCTAGAATACATGTATGTGAATTCATATGTATCTCAATAATAGAAACGACGAAATACAAAGATGCACAAAAGATATAAACAAACACTTTTCCAAGATATATGGATGGCAAATAAGCACATGAAAAGAAACTCAATATCATTAGTCATTAAGGAAATGCAAATTAAAGCCACAGTGAGATACCACCACCCACCGGTTAGGACAGCTAAAATTTAAAAGACCAGGCCGGGTGTGGTGGCTCAAGCCTGTAATTCCAGCCCTTTGGGCGGCTGAGGCGAGAGGATTGCCTTAGCTCAGGGGTTCGAGACCAGCCTGGGCAACTTGGTGAGACCTTGTCTCTACAATAAATAAAAAAAATTAGCCAGGCGTGATAGCACACGTCTATAGTTCCAGCTACTTGGAAGGCTGAGGCGGAAGAATCACCTGAACCCAGCAGGTTGACGCTGGGGTGGCCATGAGTGTGCCACTGCACTCCAGCCTGGACGATGGAGTGAGACTCTGACTCAAAAAAAAAATTTCAAAAGACTGACCATACCAAGTGTGGGTGAGGGTGTGGCGTGCTCACCTAGTGCTGGTGGAATGCCAAAGGAAAACAGTTGAGCAAGACAGACATTTAATCATAAACCTACTGTGTGCCCCAGCATCTCTTACTTTACAAGAAGAAACGAAAGCCCAGAGGAGAAACATGTTTCCCTACCTGATAGAATGGGACTTTTCTTGGCTGTTTGAGGGTCTCATCAATATCTGAGGGTGATGGTTCTGACCATTGTGAACGCTGTGCATTGCCTTCTTTAGCTTTTGACCTTGAGTTCGCGACATCTCAGGGTCCAGCAGCCAGGCCAGATGAGAGGGAACTCTGAGAAGCACCCCCTTGTCCAAAGCTCTGGTCCTTGAACGCCATCACCATGGACTGCTTGATACCTTCCCTGGATCTAAGCAAGCCCAGCTCCTCTTTATGGCTCCTCCTTGGCCCTTTGGCCCTTCTCCAAATTGACCCTTGGATCTTCTCCTTCTCAGGCACAGTTCACATATATTCCAGGGTTCAGTTGATTTCACTCCCTCTTCCTGGACCTGCAGCAGCATTAGCCAGAAAATAGGTGTTCAAGAAAAATGAGAGTGGATGAACAACGGGGGTGGAGGGTGATCACAGAGATGCAGAAAGTTCAGAAGCCTGAGAGGCAGATGTGCTGAGGCCAGGCACAGGGCATGGGAGCCATGGGTCCTGCTAGGCTTAAATGTGGGGCGTTGTCAGGAGAGCTGTCTGCTAAGTAGTGTGCTGGTCAACATTTATGAGGCCTGACAAGTTTGTGAACTTGCCACCCCGCACTTATGTTGGCAGGACTTTGCAAACAAGTCAGTAAGGTCTCATAACCTTGGTCTATCAGTGTCTCACAGCTGTGTTCTTGTCAATGGGGGGCAGTGTCTTGCTGAGTGGCATTCATTATTGTTGTTGCACGTTTCTGTGTGCCATCGCAAGAATGTTGGGGCTTGAATTAGACCAGTGAACAAACATTACATTTCTTGTTAAACTTGGCAAGAGCGGAAGTGAGCATATTAGTTCAAGTTTATGGGGATAATGCCAAGAAGAAAACGACAGTGAACAAATGGATTAAATGTTTTTCTGAGGGGAGAGAAAGCATCACTGATGAAGAGAAGTCAGGACTGCCAGTAACAAGCGGCACTGATTAAAACATTGCCAACATTCATTGAATTGTGCATCAAAATCATCAGCTGACTGTGAGAAACATAGCAGACCAAATAAACATCAATAGAGAAGCAGGATAATCTTCACTGAAAATCTTGGCGTGAGAAACATGTGTGCAAAAATGGTCCTGAAGGAGCTCTTGCAACACGACAATGCACCAGCTCACACAGCACTGTCTGTGAAGGAGTTTTTAGCTAGTAAACAAATAACAGCATTGGAACACCTGACCTACTCACCTGATCTGGCCCCAGTGACTTTTTTCTTTACACAAAGACAGAGGAAATATTGAAAGGAAGACATTTTGATGACATTCAGGACATCAAGGGTAATACTACAACAGCTCTGATGGTCATTCCCTAAAGAGTTCAAAAATTGCTTTGATGTGTGGTCTTAGGTGCTGGCCTGGTGCATAGCTTCCTGAGAATACTTCAGAGGTGATTGTTGTAATATTCAGCACTGAGGTATGTAGCACTTTTTCTAGGGTGAGTTTGTGAACTTAATTGCCATTCTCAGTAATACCTGGCTCTTACCACAAAATAAAATACAAAACGCACCTATGATAGTTAATTTTGTATGTCAACTTGACTGGGCCGTAGAGTGCCCAGGCATTTGACCAATCATGATTTTGGTTGTGTCTGTGAGGTTGTTTTCGGATGAGATTAATATTTGAATTGGTAGACTGAGTAAAGCAGATTGCCCTCCCTAAGGTGGGTGGGCCTCATGGAATCCGTTGAAGACCTGGATAGAACAAAAATTGATGAAGAGGAAACACCTCCTGCCTGAGTGCTTAAGCTGGGACATCAGTCTTTCCTGCCTTCAGACTTGAACTGAAAAATTGGCTCTTCTTGGGTCTTGAACCTGCCGGCTTTTGGACTGGAACTTACACCATTGGCTCTCCTGGTGGTCTAGCTTGCTGACTGTAGGTTGTGGGATTCAGTCTTCATAATCACATGAGCCAATATTTTATAATAGGTCTCTCTCTGTATCTCCCTGTGTGGGTCTGTGTCTCACTCTATATATATACAGAAAGTGCCAAAAAAGGTATACACATTAAGAAAGGAAAAAACGGTATTAAAATTGTATTATTCAATATATACCAATAACAAAAGATGAATACAAGTCATGTTCTGCAATTACAAGAGGTGCTCAAAGTGGTTATTATCAGCGTCCAGACACTTCTGATTATGGAGAACATCTCTTAGAATGTGTGTACATTTTTTGGCACCCTCAGTATACATGAGGGGAGATTCAAAAATTTGGAATTATCTTTTTATTTTTTCGGTTGGCAGGCCCTTTGGAATATAGGCTTCCCCGCTAAGTAAGTGTTCTAGGAACCCATGGGCATCAGTGTACCAGCTAGTGCTGTTGTGAGAGGCTGTGTTGTGGAAGTAATGTCCCAAGTTGTGATAAACAGGTGACTGGTCTTCCACCATGACAATGTACCTGCCCATACCGCACTGAGTGGTCAGCAGTTTTTGACCAAAAAATGACATGACCCCTGTGCTCCACCCTCCATGCTCACCCAATCTTATCCCAAGCAACTTTTTTTTTGTTTCCCTGGATGAAAAAAGTCCTCAAAGGGAAACATTTTGCCGATGTGGAAGAGGTGAAACAAAAAATTATCAGAAGCAC